CTATTTTTTGGTTGCAGCCGTCATTGTTGTTTGGCGGGTCCGGGCTGGGGATTCGAACCCGCCACCTTAGGTGTACGTGCCTGGTGCCTTAGCCGGTTGAGCTACAGGCACCGAGCCTAAAATAGTTTTCTTAAGTTGTTAACAAATACATTTTCTATATGATGTAAATAATGTCATTTCAATTTCACTTTTTTTTTTTAACTTTTCTGGGAACATTTTATTTAATTATGACCAAAGAAGAAAAACAGTTTAGCTCCTTCTTGAGCTTGTAAGAGCTTAACTCCAATCGATAGTCTAAAAAGAACATTTACATGTCAACATAGTAATTGTTAACAGAACCATAACTGAAACTAGATGTCGCCCTTTTAATCATATTTCCTTTGTAAACCTTTTTCTAAGTCAAGTGTTTTTACCTGAACAGAACTAGTCATGGTGCTTAGAGCAAAGATGGTAGCACAGTCTTTCACCGTTGACTGACTGTCAAATGCTCCCTGAGTGTCCATCAGAACAACTGCAACCTTAAAAACAAGAAAATACAAACAAAATTTATTCAAGAAGTAAAGTAGTGACATAAAAGACATTTTTTCTTTTTGAGACAGAATCTCGCTCTATTGCCTAGGCTACAGTGCCATGGTGCATTGCTCACAGCAACCTTAACCTCCTGGGTTCAAGCAATCCTCTTGCCCCAGCCTCCTGAGGAGCTGAGACTACAGATGACTGCCACAACACCTGGCTAGTTTTTCTATTTTTAGGAGAGATGGGGTCTCGTGCTTGCCCAGGCTCGTCTCTAACTACTGAGCTCAAACAAGTAACAAAAGTAAAAGCAAGGACCATATGATCCTCTCAATAGATGCAGAAAAAGCATATGACAAAATTCATCATTTGTTTTTTTGTTTTTGTTTTTTGAGACAGTTTCCTTTTTGTCGCCCTCGGTAGAGTGCCATTGCATCACAGCTCACAGGAACCTCCAACTCTTGGGCTTAAGTGATTCTCTTGACTCAGCCTCCCAAGTAACTGGGATTATAGGCACCTACCACAACACTCAGCTATTTTTTTTGTTGCAGCTGTCACTGCTGTTTTAGCTGGCCAGGGCTGGGTTCGAACCCACCACCCTGGATATATGGGGCCAGCGCCCTGTTGACTGAGCCACCGGCGCCACCCTCACCATTTGTTGATAAGAATATTTAAGAATATTGGCACAGGCTCCGTGCCTGTGGCTCAAGTGGCTAAGGCGCCAGCCACATACACCTAAGGTGGTGGGTTTGAATCTAGTCCAGGCCCATCAAAACAACAATGACGGCTGCAACCAAAAAATAGCCAGGCGTTGTGGCAGGTGCCTGTGGTCCCAGCTACTTTGGAGGCAGAAGCAGGAGACTCATTTGAGCCCAGAAGTTGGAGGTTGCTGTGAGCTGTGATGCCACAGCACTCTACCCAGGGGGACAGCTTGAGGTTCTGTCTCAAAAAAAAAAAAAGAAAAGAAAATTAGCACAGCTGGGTGCAGCGGCTCACACCTGTAATCCTAGAACTCTAGAGGGAAGCCGAGGTGGGTGGACTGCCTGAGCTCACAGGTTCAAAACCAATTTGGGCAAGAGCAAGACCCGGTCTCTAAAAATAGCCAGGTGTTGTGGCAGGCACTTGTCCCAGTTACTCGGGAGGCTGAGGCAAGAGAATCATTTAAGCCCAAGAGTTTGAGGTTGCTGTAAGCTATGACACCGCAGCACTCTATTGAGGGCAACAAAGTGAGACTCTGTCACAAAAAAAAAACCAAAAAGAAATACTGGCACAGATGGGACATTCCTTATAAAAGCCCTCTATATCCAGGCGTAGAGGCACACAGCCGCACTCCAAGCTACCTGAGAGACTGAGGGAAGAGGATTGCTCAAGCCCAAGAGTTTGAGGTTGTGTGGGATATGACTCCATGGTACTCCACGCAGGGTGACAGAGGAAGAGGACTCTATCCCCCACAAAAATAAAATAAATAGAAGCCATCTATGACAAACCCATAGACAAGATCATACTGAATGGAGAAAAGCTGAAAGCATTCCCACTTAGAACTGAAACCAGACAAGGATGTCTGTCCACTATCACCACTATTATTCAACACAGTGCTAGAAATCCTAGCCAATGCAATCAGGTAAAGAAAGATGTCAGGGGTATCTAAATGGGGACAGGAGGTCAAGCTATTGCTCTTTTCTGATGATATGATCTTTTTTTTTTTGAGACAGAGTCTCACTATGTCGCCCTTGGTAGAGTGTCATGGCATCACAGTTCGCAGCAACCTCCCTCCAGCTCTTTCTTGGGCTTAAGCAATTCTCTTGCCCCAGTCTCCCAAGTAGCTGGGACTACAGGCACCTGCCACAACACCCAGCTATTTCTTTGTTGTTGTTGTTGCAGTTGTCATTGTTGTTTTAGCTGGCTCGGGCTGGGTTCAAACTCACCAGCCTTGGTGTATGCGGCTGGCACTGTAACCACTGTGTTATGGGCACCAAGCCAGATGATATGATCTTATACCTAGAAAACCCCAAGGATTCAACCATTAGACTCCTCAAAGAGATCAAGAAAAACAGTAACGTTTCAGGTTATAAAATCAATGTACACAAATTAGTAACCTTTATATACACCAACAACCAAGCTGAGAATCAAATCAAAGACATAATACCTTTCACAAAGAAAATAAAATACTTAAGAATATATTTAACAGGCTCGGCGCCTGTGGCTCAAGCGGCTAAGGCGCCAGCCACATAACACCTAAGGTGGCAGGTTCGAATCCCCAGCCTGGACCCGCCAAACAACAATAATGGCTGCAACCAAAAAATGGCCAGGTGCTGTGGCGGGCACCTGTAGTCCCAGCTACTTGGGAGGCTGAGGCAGGAGACTCGATTGAGCCCAGGAGTTGG